GTAGAGTGGCCTACAGTGACTTGTGAGATAATAATCAATCATGAAACATATGTTTAATTGGAGCCCAATATGAAGAGAAACCAGAACGGATCAGACAAAAATATGTTTTGTGGAAAAGTGGTGAAAAATCCCCAAGTTTTTAGAAATATGTCGAATTACAGACCCAAGATCAATGGAACCAAAACAAGTTAAATAAAAACATATTCACATGGGTACATGAATCATACTTAAAACGCTGTCATCCAAAGTTTTCTTTAAAATTAAATTTTCCAGAGGAATATAGATGAATTTCCTACTAGAGAATGGTGATTAAAATGATGTCTGCCTTCTCAACAGAATCCATGGAGATGAAGAAGATGGAGCAGCATCTTTCTCCATGTTGAGAGAAAAAATAAAGCTATTACCCCAGAATTGTATAGACATCAAAATTATCCCTCCAAAATAAGAATTAAATAAGACATCCACATGTGTAAACAACTTGAGGCCATTTTGTTGATGGACAATCTATAATACAAGTAACAACAAAGAAAGTTCCTTAGGTTGAAGGAAAAGACACATCATGGAAATTAAGAATTTCAAGGAGTGAAGACTATTAGAGATGGAAAATATGTGCATAAATATAAAAGACAATTTTTTATTTTTTTAAATGTATCTGACTCTATGAAGCAAAAGTGGAAAATAGTATTGTATATGTAAAATATTTGACAAGATACAAAGGAAAGGGGATTAAATAAAAATGTAATGTTGTGAGGTTATATTTACATGGGATAGTTCGGTTCTAATTCAAAGTAGACCAAGAGACTATAAAGATTCATATGCCAATTCCTAGAATGACAATTGAACATGACAGAAGAAAGCACAGGCAACGATTTGGTACTACGGCTGTGTAACAAATTACCCCTAAGTTTATCTCTAATAATATACTCCTATTTATTTATATTTTTCCCACTGGGCTGTCCCTCAATAAAGTACTGATATCACTTGGCCTGTACTTGGCACATTTGTTAACTGAAGAAAGATTTACTGGAATCAATGAAATATTTAAGTGAAATAAATTAGTTAAGTAAAGAAAAAAAGATGTACTTCTTGGGAAGGTCATTTGCCTTAAATAAATTGATATGTAGATTAGATTAATTGGCTGTAGGAAAAAACACACCTGTAAGCTAAAATGTATTTGAAGAAACAACGTCTGTAGAAATAGAAGCTTTCAGTGACGACAGTCTGGACTTTACAGCCCAGGTATGCTGCCGCCAAAATTTAGGAAAGCTGGGAGCAAAATATTAAAAACATGCATTTGAAAGCACTACAAACCCAAGGGAACAAGTATTTGAAGAAACAAAATCTTAATTAGAAGAGATGCCCGGATGGTGAGGCCAAATTATGGCACCTCTTTTCCCTTCAGGCTTTTGTGGGTTCACAGGAGATGACTAAGAAGCTGAGAAGCTAAGCATTTGACTGGGGCTATTAGCAATCTCATCAACCCAGCAAAAACAATTTGGACCTAAGGGCACACAAGGAGGAGAGGCTCTGAGAAACAAGTCAGGGGTTCACTGACATCCCTGAGGGGCTATTACCTAGATGTCAATATGAATAGGTAAGAGAAAAACTCAGACAAAACCCAACACCCACCTTCTCAATCCCTGATTGCTATGAAATGAACTGCCCCCATGCTAATGGCCTCTCTGAAGCAAAAGAAAATGCTCCCTGACCTGCAATTATGTCCATAGTCTTTCCTACAGAAAATCAAGCTGGAATACAAAATAACGATACATGCAAAATATGAATGGAAATGAAAGGATTAGCCTCAGGCCTGTGATGCATTATCTCTATTTACCAGGATGGCTGTGGAAAAAATGACATGGTTACACTTAGGCAATGTAAACTGACATAAGAGACCACTGCATACCTGTTAGATGAGCAACAGTTAAAAATAGTGACCTCTGTGACTGTTGGCAAGGATGTAATGCAGCGGCAAGTCCCATACCCTGCTGATTTCGTGTACAGTGGTATAAGCATGTGGCAAAAACATTCTGACATTTTCTCAAATAACTTAAAGACACACCAATCATATGATCTAGCCATTCCATTCTTTGAAGCTTATCCAAGAAAAATGAAACTGTATGTCCTTACAAAGGCATTTACAAGAATGTTTATTTCATGGGAAAGAAGAGAAGTCTTAGGCAGAACAAGAGGAGGAAATACAAAGATGTAGAAGAAAACTTAAACATGTGGGATAGATATTTATATTTCATTGGTTGCAGTGATGATTGCATAAATGTGTACCTATTTCTAAACTTATACTGTTAATGTTAATGTTATACAGGTTATTTTAAGTCAGTTACATATTAGCAAAGCTGTTATAAAATATGTAGGATATATGAAAATGTGTCTTAAAGGTAATACAGCATTACATGCCAGAGTGGAAATCTGAAAAATTTAAGAGCTGATAATCCACCTTAAGAAACTGAAAAAGAAGCAATAATTTAGAACCAGAAAAAATAGAAATTAAATAATAATATTAAGATTGGGGAAATAAATTTTGAACAAAATTATAAAGATATCAACAAATTCAAAAATTGGTTTCCATTTCTGTAAAATAATTTTAAGATAAACTTGTGAGAAGATTGATCAAGAATAATAGTAAGCTCACATAATCAATACCAAGAAGGTAGAGAGTATAATACCACAGATTCTGAAAACATATACATAATATTATAAGGAAATTCATTCCATTGGAAATTATGCAAAATGACAGAATTCAAAGAGAAACACACATATCCATAAGTCTTAGGAAGTATCAATAGTCATATAATTATCAAGCAAATTTTGTCTGACTAAACTTCCTACATGATTTTTATGCCTGGTGCCCTAAGCCATGAACTTCCCATGTAACTGGAAAAAAAAAATCAATCTTGCACAACCTCTTCCACAGAATAAAAAGAGTAAAAGCACTCTCTAAAATGTTTTATGGGATCTTTGTAAACTACATAGAATTATGAAGAATATTATCTTTGGTTTATATCCCTCATAAGAAACAGTAACAATGACAACAACAAAACTTTTTCTGACAAACAGAATCCTAAGATACATCAAATATGTACAACAGCATGAACAATTTGGGTTTAAGCCAAGACTGAATTATTGTAGATTCAACATTTAGAAATCAAATTAACAAAACAAAGTAACAAAATCAAGTCTTATCGCAAGAGGTATATTATTTGACAAAATTTACCAGTCACTTATAATTAAAAATAACTTAGATAACTGAAGAATATCATGATTACTATTGAAAAACTGAGAAGGTTCTCCTAGAGATGAGGACTGAGAAAAGGATGTCTGCTATCACCAATTCTAAACAACATTTTATAGATATTCTAGCCAAGGCAATACAGCAAGAAAAAAACTTGCGTAAGGTTCATTTGAAAGGAAGAAATGAAATCAATTTTATTCAAACATGATTATGTTAACAGACTAAAAGCCACCTTAAGATAATATATTTGAATTGCATAGAGTACTTAGCAAATAGAAGGGATGGAACGTATGAATCAGACTTAACAAGGGTAGACATTCTTTCATGAAAAAAAAATACACGTCTTAGAAATGTAAATCTATTTCTTAATTCTTAAATGAGGGTCGAAAAATAAAATAAAAGTCACTGCACCGGACTGAGCAATGTTCGATAATGTCAGGAGATCCGGGTCTCCCAAATTCATGTGGCTCAGCCTCTTGTCCTTAGAAAGAAGATCCTTTAGCGCAGAAGGTTCGGAAAAGTCCAAACCTGGCTGGCGAACAAAGGCTGCGGGTCAGTGTGTTTTTCCCTACAGCCCAGGGCTCCGCCCATTTTCTGCAAAAGGTTTGCAGTAGGGAAACAGCTCAGAGCTCTCAGAGGGTTCCAATCCCCCCGGGTGCCTTGAACGAGGCCGCCAGGAGGCCCCCCTCCTCTGCCTCCACCCTGGGACCGTGCGGACAGCGGGGACCGCGGGGACCGGCCCGCCCAGCAGGGAGGGCCACACAGAGCCCCGCCCCGCTCTCAGTCGCGCCAGCGGGAGGAGCTGGCTGGCTCCCGCCTCCAGGGGTCTGGGCTTCGGAGGGGCGAGGCCGTGCTTAAAAGCAAGGCGTGGGCTCTCGGAACTGCGGAAACAGCAGCCGCTGCCCCAACGGAGCAGACCTCGCGGAGCGCGCCGCTGCTTCTCGCCCCGCGGACAAGCCCAGCTGCCCTGAAGGCCAGCGCCCCTCCCTGCATTCTGTCTCCTGCGTCCCGAAGCGAAGGCTTTGCTCTGGGTCTCGAAGACACGCATCAGGGAGAGAAACTTCCCAGGCTTCGCTCGGAGTCGAGGAGGCCAGGAGAAGAGCCCGGGTAAGGACTAAGGGGACTCTGCGCCCGCACGCACCCCTGCCGCGGCGTCCACCTGGGGCCGAGCAGGGCTGTCACACTCGGGGACCGGGGTCGGGGCGAGGACCTGCTCTGATGCGGGCGGCCACGTGAGTGAGGACGGGAAACACGAACCGTTCAGGACAAAGGGGACCCTGTGGCCAGCTCCGGAAGGCCCCGGCAGGGGCGGCCAGCTACGGCTCGCCCTCATGTCCCCCTGGCGGCTCGGGGACCTAAGGCCGTGGGTGCAAGGGTGTCAGGAGTTTGGCTTCAGAGGGGCAGGGGGAGGACGCTGGGTCCCTCCGACAGGTGGTTGACAGGGCGACCCAGAATGTGAAGGAGAGGGGGGCCCCGCAGAGCCTCGCCGTGCCAGCCCTGCCCTGGGCCTCAGGCTCACGCCACCTCCCTCCGCAGAGGCCTCAAGGCACAGGCGGATGGAGCGGGAGCCCTGGGGTTCCTCCGGCACTGCCCTGGGCCCTGCAGAGGCGGCCTTGGTCCAAGCCAAGGCGCACTGCCCCTGCTGAAGGGGCACGCACGGTCTCATTCCCCTCCCCCACCCCGTCCTCCAGGTGCCCGCGTCCCTGCCCTGCCGCCGCGCTCTGCCCTGCGGGTCCGGACCACTGCCATCATGCCTCGTGGACAGAAGAGTAAGCTCCGCGCCCGTGAGAAACGCCGCCAGGCCCGGAGTGAGTCTCAGAGTCTCCAGGGTGCTCAGGCCATGTCGGCGGAGGCTGAAGGGGTCCCCTCTTCTCCCTCCCCTCCTTGTGGTGATGATCCCCAGAGCTCCCCTGCTGCGGGCTCAGGGAAGAGACCCCCGGGGTCTCGGGCAGCCCCGTCTGCTCCCACTCCCTCTGCAGGCGTTTCGTGCGCAAGCCAGCCCGAGGAAGGGGCCGCAAGCCAGCCTGAGGAAGGGGCCGAGGGCCAGCCTGAGGAAGGTGCCGAGGGCCAGCGTGAGGAAGGTGCCGAGGGCCAGCGTGAGGAAGGTGCCGAGGGCCAGCGTGAGGAAGGTGCCGAGGGCCACGGTGCGGAAGGGCCAGACACCTCCCAGGCAGAGCCCAGCACCGAGCCTTCCGGCCCAACCCCTCTGGAGCAGAAGGCGATTCTGCTGGTGCAGTTCATGCTGCGCAAGCATAACATGAGGGAGCCCATAAGAAAGGAAGACATGATGAAGTATGTCATCAGAAAGCACAAGCAGCACTTCTACGATATCCTCAGGAAAGCCTCCGAGCTCATGGTGCTGGCCTTCGGCATGGACATAAAGGACGCCGACCCTGCCGGAAACTACTTCATCCTTGTCAGCAAATTGCGCCACGCCCGTGGTGGCCGGCTGACCGGCGAGATCGTGCCCAAGAGGGGCCTCCTGATGACCATCCTGTGTGTGATCTTCATGAAGGGCAACTGTGCCGCTGAGGAAGACATCTGGGATGTCCTGAACGTGATGGGGATCTACGCTGGAAAGAGGCACTTCATCCATGGGGAGCCCAAGAAGCTCATCACTCAAGACCTGGTGCGGGAGAGATACCTGGAGTACCGCCAGGTGCTCGGCAGTGACCCTCCGCGCTACGAGTTCCTGTGGGGCCCCCGAGCCCAGGCCGAGACGAGCAAGCTGGAAGTGCTGGAGTTCCTAGCCAAGCTTCATGATACCCACCCCCGTGCCTTCCCGCTCTGGTATGAAGAGGCTCTGCGGGATGAGGAAGAGAGAGCCCGAGCCAGGTCGGGAGCTGCGAGGAGCCGCGCACCCTCGGCCAGTGTGCGTCCCAGGATCAATTTCTGCAGCTCTCCCTACAGGCCCTGAAGCCTGAGGCACGGTCCTCACTCAGTGCTGAAGTAGGGTGGGGGCCCAGGGGGTGCTGGGGAGAACACAGTGTCTGTCTGTGCTCCTCTTCTATATTAGGCACTTATAGCTTTACCTTACTGTTGCAAGTTTTAAAAAGTTGTTCTTTAAGAAAAGTTTAGCTAGCTGCAGGCTCTAGGTGCATGAATGATATTAGTTACATATGTTAGGCTGCTTATGAAGCTTAGGAGTAAGTTTTGCTACCTTACTAAACGGGTGGGGCAACATTCCATCTTACTTAGTGATCTGAGCAAAAATAGAGCATGTCTTTGGAATGCCATTTCCTTAGAAATGTGAAAGGAATTAGTGGGAAAATAGTTGGGAGTCAAAAAATAGAGAAAAAGAAAAGATAGCCAATGCTTTGCTTCCCTTCTTCCTTGTGTTCTGCTGTTCTATAAAATAAAAGTTACATGCTTGCACTTGTTTCATTTATTCAAGTATATAGGAGACATTAAACCCTAATGAATTGCTTACCAGCTTTTTTTATTCCTCCGACATTAACTGAGCTTCTGCTCTTGGGAAGGGTCTCTGGGAGTAGCGGGGTGGTAAGCAGAAGACGCAAGCTCTGCCCCCAGAATGATCGAGACTACAACGAGTTTCCAGAAAAGGAAGATGGTGAGATGCCCTCACAGACAAAAACACAAGTGAAAAGAAATGGGAGGAGGGGGAGGAAGAGGAGGTTCAGATGAGAGAAGTCAGGTACAAATGTCCTGAGGCAAGACGATCTGGGGCCTTGGGAAACCTCAAGTCCTTCACTGGGGGGTAGTTTTGAGTTAAGGTGGGCGGTGCTGCATCAGAAGAGGGTGCGAGGCTGGTGAGCAAGGGCCAGACCCTTGGGTGGTGGGTCTCAGAGTCGAGAAGCTAAGCCTCCAGTGGATAACTGCTTTTAGCAGTTACTGTGGGATCATGGATAAACCAGAGAGAAATCTGCACCTGCGGCAGGGACGGAAGGTGCAGGCGAGCAGTTTCTGATAAGCAAGGGTGATACTTCCTCAAGGTGGGGTGCCAAGAAGCCACGGCACCTGCACCCTGTGACCTGGGCTGAGTGTGCCGCACACGAAGGGCATTTCAGCTGGGTTTTCCTGAGTGCAAGGTGCAAGCTCTAAGGGAGGGCTTGATTTTGCTAGGGGTTTCATGAATGAAAATTGGGGTGATTTGGATCAAAGGGCAGCCAGGAGGAAGGAGTTACTTTCTGACACCTAATTTAGGAGCTCTGCATCCCATGAAGAGGACCCCCAACATCCAAATGAAACAGTGCACATCCTCTAAGAGGAATGATTTGCTAAGGTATTTTTTTCTTGCTAAGCAAGAGTTTTTGGCTGACCTGGTGTTCAGTGTCCCAGGGCACTGCATGTTCTCAGATACCTCCTGGAGTAACACAACAAAACAAAACACCCCACAATCTCAGCAGGACGGTTGGTCTTATCTGAGGTCAAAATAAATCACAGCAATAGTCGCCATTTGTACAGGCTCAGCGCGCAGTGGTCGCAGGGCCAGGCGCTTAAGTGCAGCGCACGGGCTCCAGCAGTCCTGGAAGGGAGGCTACCAAACCCACTCTGCTGAGGAAGAATCCGAGGCTCCTAGGGCTGGGCGGGGGGCCGAGTTCCCACAGCTGGTGAGTGCGGCCGGAGCCCTCGAGAGCCCACGCCGCTCCACTCCTCCCTGCCTTGTGTCTGTCAGTTCATTTCTCTTCTCACTGTTCCATGTGTCTCACGCGGTAAGAAGAAAAAGCCTGTGGCTAAAGTGCAAAGAGCAGGCCTAAAGAAGGAAGGCGACATGAGAATCAAACACAATTTGGGGATCGTCCGGGGCTTCATTTACCTACGGTCCTCCTGCCCCCCAACACCAGGGCTCCTTGAGAGCTGACTCTGCCCTGGGCCCAGCCCAAGCGTCCAGTCTCCAGTCGCAGACTTCCCTACATCACGGCGCCCCTCCCCTCTCCCTGGGTGGTCCCCGGTGTGCCTGCTGTCCTCTGCATCCTTCTCCGCAGGCCCTACCTGCTCCCCGTGGGACACACAGCCCACAACCCCTGCCCTCTGGACCTAGAGCATCCCACCTCCCTGCGGACCCGGGCCTTCCCTGGGGGCCCCTCTGACAGCAGCCCCTGCTATGCGATGACTTACTCAGGGCAGTGACCTTTAGACACCTCCTCCTCCACCCTGGCTGCCTCTACCAAACTCTCAAAGTTTGTTTTGGTTTGTTTTTGCCATATCTGCTTATAGGTATATTCCTATTTGGCAGGAAACCTGCAGAGCTTTGGCTTATAACCATGAGCCAGACAGGACATTTTAAAACATCTGTGATGATTGCAATAGAATTAAAATCCCTTTTTTTTAAACTTTCATTTTTTCAATTACAGCTTACATTCAGTATTACTTTGTATTAGTTTCAGGTGTACAGCATAGTGGTTAGACAACCATGTACTTTCCAAAATGTTCCTGCTGATCTTTCCAGTCCTGGAACGATACATAGTTATTACAATATTATTGATAATAATGGAGTATCTTAATTGATTGAAAAGGCACTAAATACATACTCTGATGAGTAGGTTTAACTAAGTGGCCAAGAGCCAAAGCCTTGGTCCTAAGAGGTAGATGGGGAAGGCCCGAGGAATCCACTGGGTAGCAAACATCAGCAGGGGCTGGATTCTCACAGACCCCGTAGGCTTCTCAGACAGTTATAGTACTTTTCTATGGCTGCTGTAACAAATTACCACAAATTCAGCGGTTTACAACAGCACATATAATCTCAGTAGGTGTTATTACCTACTGTTCTGTAGGGATAAAGGCTGGAATGGCTCTGCTGGATTCTGTGCTTGGATTTTCACAGGCCCAAGCCTGCAGGCCTCTCTGATCACAAGCTCTGGGAAGAATCTCCTTCCCAGGCCATTCAGGTTGGTGGCAGGATCCGTCCTTTGCGGTAGTAGGATTCAGGCCCTGTTTCCTTGCTGACTGTCAGCTGTGGTTGAAATTGTTTCTCCTGGCCTCTCTCCAGTCCTTGCATCAGGCCCATACGTTTTGACCAGCAATTAAATGTCAAAGCCTTCTCACAAGTGAGATCTCTCTAGCTTTCCCCTCTGCTGCATCTCTCTACCTCTAGCCAAAAAAAGTTCTCTGCTTGGAAGGGTTCATGTCATTACATCGGACCCACCCAGATAATCCAATGTCTACTTGTAAAGTCGGTTTCATTGCCCTTATATATCTACAAAGTGCATTTGGCCATGTAACGTAACATATTCACAGGTTTCAGGGAAAATGTGTGGGCATCTTTGTGGAGCAATTATTCAGAAATTTTCACCAAGGAAGAAAATGTCTCCCTGGCAGACATGCCAGCTTTGATAAGAAAAAAAAAATTACCACCATTATATAATAGTCTACTTACTATTATCATTTATCACATTACCACTAAACTTATCTTCTAAAATATACACATTTACTCGTCTACTTTCTGAATAGGCTTTCCTTCAATAATGTAACACTAGTACATTACTTGACAAATGCTGGGAACTGAAAAAACACTTATGGGATGAATTAAATAATTGGGTTGAAAGAAATTAAGTACATTATGTTCATTACATAAATAATTTCACCAGTAAAATACAGAGTCTGGCAGAAGTAACACTTGGCTTGAGTGTGGTTGGTAGGGTAATACTACGGGTGTAATAATTTATAGTTTTAATTTGAACATTTTACCTAAAATGTCATATGGTATGCTTGAGAGTGATATTGTTATGGTATAGAATTATGTGCTTATGATTTTGTAATAAAAAAGGTGTATTTGTGCTGGACCCTGTATATTACATATAAGCATGGTAGACATAAAAATTTTTACATTTAATACAAGTGACATTTTATTATTCTTTATCAAGAGATTTTGCCTTGTTCTCATACACTATTACATCCAGACTAACATTTGAATCAGATCAAAAATAATGATTAAAATGATTTTGATATTGTACTTAGAAATGCACTGAAATTATTTTTATTTGTATATAAACAGTAAAGATATATTTATATATTATAATAAGAGAGAATTGTTTCTTTTTTGTTTATGGTACATAAACTCATTTTCATTTATAACACAGCTAGTGAAGTTTTAAAAATATTTCATTATTAAATTATGTTTGGCTTCTCTATGAACTCTAATGCATTTTAATGAATTGAATAAATGTATACCCATCAAAAGCTTCAAAGAAATAGACATATTACCTATCTGAGAAGATGATATAAATGTTGACTGACTTCTCCATAAGATCCATGGAGAATAAGGGAAAATGGCACATTTTTCCAATGATGAATAAAAAGATCAAACTTTCAACTCGGCATTTTATATTCAACAAATTACTCTTCTAAACTGAGAGTGAAATAAGACACATCCAGATAAGCAAACTGAAACAATCTGCCATTGGCTAAGCTATATGTAATGTAAATAATGCTTAAGGAATGTGAGATTCCCGGGGTTGCCATAACAAAATACCATACACTGGATTGTTTTAAGAAAAAACAGAAATTTTTTATTATCTCCCAGTTTTGGAGGCCAGAAATATGAAATCAAGCTGAAGTCAGGGCTATGCTCCCTCTAAAACATATAGGGGATTCCTTCTTGGCCTCTTCCAGCTTCTAGTGGTTTGCTGGCAACCTCAGACATTCCTTTGGTTGTACAGATATTACTCCAAATCCTCCATCTTCATCTGACGTTCTCCTTGGGTGTATCTTCACAGTTTTCCTTCTAAGCATATCTTTGTCTATGTCCAAATTTAGGACTCACCCAAGCCCTGGCCAGGTAACTCAGTTGGTTATAGGATCCATCTGATAAACCAAAGTTGGGAGTTTGATCCCTGGTCAGGACACATATAAGAATCAACCAGTGAACGCACACATAAGTGGAACGACAAATCAATATTTTTCTCTCTCTTTCTGTATAAAACCAATAAATTAAGAAATTAAAATTAAAAGACTCAC